GACCATGATCCAGAGCAAAACCTGGGTAAAGAGGCCCCTGAGTCCCTCTCATACAAATACACCCCTGTATCTTCCTTTCATTGATGTACAGCCCCAAGGTTTCTCCTTATGAAGCGCTTGAGAAGTGAACCATCCCATGAGAACCCGTTCCCCGTGCATTTGGCTTCGAAGGATGCCAAAGCACCTCCTCAGTGAGCCCAAAGGCTCAGCCAGACGAGGAGTTTGTCAGATTCATATTAAGGGAACAGGAGCTGCAGCTACGGGAAGTCAAAGCTGCTGCATGAGCTGGGCGTTGCCTTGGGCAGAGCAGAGCCCTCCCTCGCCCGTAAGCGGGCACCGTCTTTCATCCTTCCCAGACAGGTTCGTGTAGCTGGATGGTACCAGGAGGGCTGCACGCGGAGGATGGAGTGAGAGCAGCAAATCCTTGTGGTGTTTCCCTGAGGACCGGAGCAGGTTTGCACTGTCAGTCGGAGCCGGATTACAATCGCAGGAGCCCGACTGCCACCAATCCCCCCTGGAGCCTGAGCAACACCATTCTTCAGGCCAGGACTTGAACACCACCCCCCCAAAGCAAGCTGTTCTCAGTGAAATCATGGCACTGATGAGGCCTCGGAGCACCTCCCAGCCAGATGTAAGTCAGTGTCCTGACAGAGACAGCAGCCAGGCTGGATGAGTGCCTAGCTGGGAGCAAGCCCAACTCTGCAGAGAGCACCGAGGCAGCAAGGAGCCCACTGAGCTGCCGCATGGGTCACGGGGGTGATGGATGCAAAGGGGGGGATGCAGGCAGAGCATTGGCCAGGGCTGGGTTAGTGGGGTCAGTGCGGGTCAGAGCAGAGGGGCCCAGGATCCCCAGGGCACGCGGAGGTTAATCACTTTGCCGCCACAGAGCCAGCTGTGATACCTTCTACCCTTCCAGTGACTGCGAGGAAAAGGGCTTTCAGATTCTGGGAAAGGCCTGAAACTCCCTGAAGCAGCACACCATACAAAACCCACATGTCCAGGGAGGATGCCCAGGCCAGGGAAGTAGAAGAAAATCCCTTTCCTCCCACTTTCCCTGACCAGCCCTCTGCACACCTCGGTGCCGAACTCGGCTGCGCCCATGGAGCAGCACTCGGCCTGTTTCAGCTACAGCAACCCTGGGAAAGCCCACGCAGCTTAACCCGCCTGGGCAGCACGGCTGAAAACAGCCCCTGAGCTGTGCCAAGGCCAGGACCCCACCCTGTCCCAAAGTGCCATCGCATCCCCTCACAGCAGCGCTCCCTTGGGGACATTTCCAACCTGGGGGATGCCTGTCTGCTCCGTGTAAATGGTAAAGCCCTGCCATGCCCTAAAACTCTGCCTGGACATCTCTGCTTTCCCCATCACTGCAGATTTGTCAGTGCTGTTGGATGAAACGTGCCGAGCAGAGCTCACCCCTTCACGGGGTGCGGCCAGGGGATGCCTGGGCCCCCACAGCCAGAGGGGTTGGGTGCCCCAGGGGTGCAGGCTGGACTGTCCCTCTGCACACCCTCCTCCAGAGGAGCAGGAGCCCCAGCACCACCTCAGCCAGCAGAAATGCTTTTTTCACCCCACCCCAGCAATGCTGGTCTGGCAAAACCTCCTCTTAGCAGCCCCCAGGATGGTCCCGGGGACAGCCAGCCCAGCCTTCCCCACAGCCACGTCTCCCCAGAATCCACAGGCAAGGGGTTCCCACCAGCTTCAGAGCCAGACTTCACCCCAAGATCTTTAAAACAGTCAGTCCGCCAGCCAGCAGAGAGTCTTCTGTGGTTTAAAAAAAGTAAAATTCTATTAAAAGCTGCTGGGCAATTCCCTGCTTTAACACACACACACACCTCCAAACCCATAACTTTACATTGCAAAGTTAGTTGAGAGGAAAGGCATGTCAAGGTGGGGTTTTGTTTTTTTTTTTGTTTGTTTGTTTGTTTTGTTTGGGGTTTTTTGTGTGTGTGTTTTTGGTTTTGTTTGGTTTTGGGTTTTTTTGTTTGGTTGAGGTTTTTTGTTTGGTTGGTTTTGGGTTTTTTGGTTTTTTTTGGGGGGGGGGGCTTGTTTATTTGTTTGGTTTGGTTGTTTTGTTTTTTTTTTTTTTCAGGAAGAAAGAGACAGTGAAGGCACCTAATACTTCCCTATAATTAGAGAGAGTTCTTTACCTCTAGTGCCACTACCAGAGCACCTCTATCCAATTTGGGAACACTAAAGTATTGCCCAGCTTCATTCGATTATCCATCCGGCCCTCCCCTGTTCATTTCCCTACTATTTTTCCACTTTAATGAGCCCAGCTGAGTCAAACTGTGACCAGTTACTCCTGAGCAGGGATCAGCCAACCCTCCATCCCTCCCCCCAAGGAATCCGGTGTGCCGAGGGTTCCAAAGACTCTCCACGGATCGGTTTTCCCAGACAACCTCCTTCCAACCATGGGTATACTTAGCAACAGCAGTCATTCTAGCAAGGACCCTCGAGACTCCTCTGGGGATCTGGAGAATTCAGGACAGCTGGGGATAGACACGGCAAAGAAAAGCCCGGGGCTTGCTAGCGCAGCGGAGCCTGTCCCCGGGTGGTGACCATACATGGGCTGGCTCCTGCAGCTCACGGGGTGGGAAGCCCCAGAAGGAAGGAGACGGGAGAATTTGGGAGAAGCCAATCTCTCGCCTCAGACCCCAGAGGGAAGGGAAACCTGCCTCAGGAGCTGTGCTGCTGCTCGGGTGCAAACATGCTGCAGAGCAGAGCCCGAGCTGTGGCGATGTGCACAGCAGCTGAGGCCGGGGGCTACCTGGAGCCTCCGGAGCTTTGTGGAGAGTGCTCCCAGTAACAGACCCAGTACATACCGGGTTATCTAACCCTGGCTTCCCCCACACCTCGGGCTCCCAGCCTCCTGCCGTCACGAGCCTCCCCGCCAGCTTCTCGCCTCTTGTGTCAGGGCTTCACAGCAGGCTCACACCACTGTGGCAATTCCAGTTCATGAAAGAGAACATAATACCAGCTCAGTTTAGGTGGTGTTACACTGGCATCAGGAAGACTTTGCCAGCATGTCCCCATTTGTACTGGGAAACAGAGTAACCTACGCCCAAGTTAGAATTTCTAGGACTTTTGTAATGTAAGCTCTTCTTCCATATACATTAGGCACAGATAAATAGATAAGGTTCATTGTTTAAGCAAACCCAGTACCATTTTTTTCTCCCCCCATCTCCTCACTGTGCATTTACACCAGGGAGCCTTGGGATTTACTTTCCTGGCAGCTCCATCACAAGACTCACTGCTCATACCTCCAACGTGCTTTAAGCTGTTTTAGGAGCACTGTCCCGACTCCGTCCATACACTGGTCACCTTGAAAAGATCTTTGTCCTCAAGGAGAGGAGATCAGAGAGCTGAGCTAACCACAGGGTCAGAAAAGTTAGTCCCAAACAGTGAGTAAACACTTCCTTCCTCCATTTTGGGAGTGGAAATCACCAGAGCCTAGCAAGCGCTTAACCAGCGCAAGAAAAAGCAGAAGAAGTTTAGAGCTGCACATGAAACTATTACATAAATTGGGAGGGAAAGTAATTCTCCTTATTTTAAAAACAAAAAGGAAGTTATTTTTGCTCATTACTTTTGACATCAAGCTTTGTATTTCGTTAAAATTCTAAAATGCAGCTAGGGAGGAAGGGATGTGCCACCTTGCCATCAATATTCACAAACACAGTTTTAAAATGTATTTCTAAAGGCTATAAGAGTTGGAGCACTACAGAACAGACTCCTCCAGCCAGCCTCTGACTTAGCCGAAACTCTGGCAAGAAACAGAGAAGGGAACAAGCTGACCCTGCCTGACAGGGGCCCCCGCCACGGGCCCTGGCTGCGCCCACATACCTGCGCCCGCTGCAGCAAGCGGGGAGCAGGAAGGCTCGGTTGCCTTGGGCCACCCCCAGCACCTGCTCCTTGCCCCTGCAAGGATGAGCTGAGCCTGTGGCAGAGGCACAGCCGGGCTGGAGCGATGCTGGGAATCACCTAGATCATGCTGAGAAACCCCTGTGCTCCCCCAGCTTCCCCTTTGCTTCACCAGAGAGTCACAGGCAGAGCCTTGCCGCACCTTTTGAAGCTCCCAGTCAAGTCTTCAGCCAAGGCTAATTGCTGTCAGGTGTCAGCCAAAACACTTACTGCAGCCATTAGTGACAGGAGATGACACACCTTTCTCCTCTCATTGTCACTCAAGGGTTGTTTTTTTTTTTTTTTCCTATCAACATTAACTGCGCTGGTTTTCAGAAGCCTTGGGGAGAAATGCTAATGCAAGCTTTGAAGCTGGAGGTGAAAAATCAGGCAACCCCCCAAGCTCTCTGGATGCTCATCTTGAATCCAGTCCAAATCCAAGTACTTCTGGGCGATATACCTCCACCGAGCTTATCTCTGTCTGCCTCCACCAGAGACAGATGTGGTCTCTCCTACTGATCTGTCTTCTTTTAACCCCTGTAGAAAGCTGTCTGCACTGGAGCAAACAGACCCCCAATTTTACAATCTGCTGATAAAGCAGCGAAGCAGAGTGGAGGCACAGGGAGATGTATAACCTTACAGCAACTAGCCTGAAACGTTGCCAGGTTAATTTGGTTAGAGACGTAGGGGACAGAGCAAGAAATCAGATGTGCCCCGCGATTGCTGCAAGGAGAGGAGGCTGCTGATCTCCACCCCCTGGTCTTAAAGATGGGGCTGACTTCAGCTGCAGAGCAGGTCTGGGTTGCCAGACCCCTCGCTGAGCTTGCCTGCTGTTAGAGCTGCGGTTCCCCACCCGATCGACACCCTCGCAAGGGCTCTGAAGTTCAAAGATGAGACCTTTAGGAAGCCTAAGTCTCTCCCCAGCTGGAGGAGCTTGTCAAAAGCCTGACCGAGCACCTGACCCGTTTCAGACTCGTGGGTCATCATCATCTGGGCTGTGCATCTTCCTTTCCCACAATCACCCTTCCCAGTTTCCCAGCCTCCCAGTTTCCCAGGACTGGGAGGCAGCCATGGCGTTGGGGTAGCGGGTCCCCAGGCCTCACCTCTGGCTCTCCCCAGGAGATTCATCTTCCACTTGGCTCACACCTTCCGCACCCTCCTTCTGGCACCCCTCCGAGTCTGACATCTTCTCCCCCAGCCGGTGTGACAGCCCCACAGACAGCTCCGGAGCGAGGGTGCTGCCGCCGTTTTGCTTTTCCTGTGCTCAGCAGAAGTGAGCTGTGCCGGAAACTTCATGGGCTGAGGGTTTGGGGGGATGGGAGAGGGGCAGAGGGAAGGCAAATTTGGGGTTTTGTTTTTTTTTTTTTTTTTTTTTTTAAACTGTTGGGATTATTTTAAGGTTTCGCCTCCGCTGGCGGTGCGAAAACGGGAAGTGCTGGGCTAACCCAGGAGGAAAGCAGGGGGCACGGACATCCCCACCATGGCAGGGAGAGGAGTGACCTGCCGCTCCCCCAGAGGCCCATGCCGCTTTGGGGACAGCCGGCATCTCTGACCCACAGCACCCTACTGTGCCCCAGTACCAGGGTGCTGCCGTGGGAGCTTCCCCGGGCTGTCCTGGCTTCGCAGCTCTCCAAGCCCGCTGGAGCCGACGGGTCTGCTTCTGCCCTGCAGCCATCACCCCTGGCCTCCCTTCCCAGCTCTGCTCCTTCCCCACGGCTTCCTGCTGCCGCCGTGGGTGGAGGTTCTGCAACCCCTCCTGGGGCTTGGGCTCTCTGCCTCTTCACCACGGGTGAAGGACGTGGCCAGGAGCCGGCTGTACGGTCTGGTGGAGGATGCCAGCAGAGCGCGGTGGCACGGCGTCGCCCTTCCCTCGCCGGCAATGAGGGGGATGAGCCCCCCCCCCCCCCCCCCAAGCTTCGGAGGGAGACCAACAGCAGAGGGTTGTCCCATCCCCACAGCAAGATCCTCACCAAAGCCTCCTCGTCCCCACCAGGACCCCCCACGGCAGGGGCAGGCCCTGCTGACACCACGGCACAAGTTGGGGTCCGGCCCCCCAGGCAGGCAACACCCGCCGCTCCCACCGAAGCTTTATTTACACCGCTGCTGTCAGGACGCAGCTTTTTTGCTAAACCAGAGAGAAACAGCACCCAGTCAGTGCCCTTGAGCCTGGGGGGACGGTGGGGACAGGAGGGAGCGGGGGACGGGTGTGTATAAGCAGGTGCTTAGGACTCGCCAGCTTCAAACATCTTCTTCCTGCCCTCCATGCCGGACTTCTCCTCGATGTTCTTCCTCCAGTCACCGACATCGCGGAGATCCTTTTCCTGGGGGAGGGATGGGTGCGTGGGTGGGAGTAGCGTCCCCCAGGGTGAGAACCCACCCGGGCAGGGCCCTTCATTTGTCCACCCACGTCAGCTAGAGGAACCCAATTCCACCCATGTTGTAAGTCTTTGTGGGGTGGACCCTTCTTTTTTAGCATCATGGGTGCCCAGAGGAGGAAATACCGAGCAGGAAGAACATTATGGAGAAAGGCTCACGCTCAACCCTGTCCATCACTCAGGGAGGCACGAGCCCCAAAAAACAGGGGCCAACTGCTGGACGGGCACAAAGGAGAGGGAAGGAGTACCTTCTCGGTGTCCTCCTTCTTAACTTGCTTCAGGTTGGCTCGGAGGTCCATGCAGACCTTGTGCTTGGAGCCCAGCAGAGCCCGCAGCATCGCGTCGGCAGACATGCGCACCCTGCGCAGGGGCGGCCTCTTGAACTTGCCCCGCAGGTCAAAGAGCTTCTGGCTCAAGTCTTCCAGCTGCGGGGGGGTGAAATAGGGAGGGGAGCAGAGAGAGAGCAGGGCATGGGTTTCGTGAGACGGACCCAAGCGGCGTGGGCAGGAACGAAGGGTGGGCTGGAGACTCTCCTGAAGGATGGCTCGGGGGGAAACTCACCTCCTTGTTAGTCTTCTGTAGCTTCACCTCTGTGTCATACCTCTCCTCATCCACTGACTCTATCTTGGCATGAAGCTTTTTGCACAGGTCCTGGAAGGAAAAGCAGAGGGGGCTGTCGACACACGTGATTCTTCTCTCCTGACCACTCTGGCTCTGAAAGACTTCAGTCCAGAAGACCAGATGGGGTCAAAACCAGATGGCAAAGGGTGGCTTGCAGGCCAGCTCCTGGCCTCCATGCTCCTGGTTTATCGCAAATACTGCCTCAACGCATCATTGGTAACACAGCTTTCCTGCCAGCCAGACCCCTTTGTTTTTGAGGAGAGACCCCAGCTGCCTCTCAAGCCAGTTCCACATCCAGCCAGCTCCAGGGCACCCACAGACGAGAAGGGGGTCAAGATGGGAAGGCCAATCTAGACCCACCAGGCTGACTGATGGAGCCAAATCCTTTCTGCTTCAGCACAGTGAAAAGGTTAAAGAAGCCTTTACCTGAAGTTCCTGCATGGATCCAGGGAGGGACAGAGGAGGGCAATGTTCTGCCAGGTAGTTTTGCTTTTCCACTTCTTTAGCAGCTGCTTCTCTTTCTATTTCGGTGGCAGCTAGCTGGAGCATAGCACTCTGGAAGGCAGCAGGAGGATGGTCAGCACGGGGTGGAGGCAAGGGAGGAGGGAAGGAGGGGTCGGCAAGGGAGGGAGAGCCTGATGGAGAGGCAGCTTGGGGAGCTCCCCATCAATACCAGCATCTCCAAGCAAGGGATACTGTGGGGACCCAGTAAGGAGTGGGGTGGGGGGGGGCCGCATGTTGTGCATGGTGGTCTCCCCCAGCAGGGAGAGTGCCGAGAGCAGGGATGGGTGATGGGATGGTCGGGACACACCTCCCCCAGCCCCAGCAGTGCCACGTACCTTCAGGTGCTGCCGACGGGCAGTGGCTGCCCTCCTTTTTTTCTGCAAGTGGGAGGAACGAGAGAAAAGCAGGTTATCAGGTGGCCATTCCCCTTTCCGCCGCCCCTTCCCCATGAAGCCCCCCAGTCCACCGAGGACCTGCAGCCCTGGCAGGGAGCTGGCTCCAGCTGGGATGGATGGCTTGACCACACAGTTGGTCCCCAAACCAACGGCACTCAAAGAAGAGGCTCCCTGCCGAGCCCAGCTTTGCCAACCTCGGGTAGCTAAAACCTACGACGTGCCTCAGGAAAAGATAACGAGGGTGACGAACTTGAAGATATGCATATAAAATATGACTTCCAGCTTGGCTTCTTGGGACTTTCAGCCTTTTCTCTAATTTCCTCTTTGCTCAGACATGTGTTTTGCTTTGCAGTCAAGCTAACGGCCCCGATGCCCCTGGGCACTCGGGAGCTATGGAATGTTATTCTGAGCAGTTCATGGCACACCCAGTGAGAAGGACAGCCAGGCAGGTGAAAACATGAAGGCTGTATAATTTCCTGGAGCTGAAAAGACCCAGTGCAGGTGATGCTGAAGGGGGGTTTATCACAGCTGGAGAACAGACACGACTACAGAGTCTGCTGGCCTGGAGGCTGCTCTGGCCAGGAGAGATGGAGGCCCACGAGGCTGCGGTTGCAAGATGCAAAACAGCTCCCCCTTCCTTGGAATGCCAGGTAAGAAATAACTTGGGGACCCTGGAAGACCAAGCCTTCCCTTCTGTACCCGTGATGTGCTGGAACAGCAACAACAAGTCTATTTACAAAAGAAGCCACAGCTTTGATGTGCCGCTGCATTGCAGCTGTTTCCTCAGCATTTTGCCCAGAAGACCGAGCAAGGCTGAGTGTTGGTGGTGCAGGGGAAACACACCCTGACATCTGATGTGCCCTCGTGGGGGAGTAGAAAGCAGCATTTGGGTGTGAGTCTACGCTGCATAGAGGAGGAAGTGGATAAGGATCTGCAGGGCGAAATGTAACAAAATCTGACATGTTTTGCATATGAAAATGGTGCTAAGGCTCTCCTGACAGGGCTGGAGGGCTCTGCAGAGGTAAGGCATCCAGCTCGGAGATGCAGTGCACCATTAACAGGCAGGATTTTGCTCGTACGAATCCAGGCGTGGGCCGTGACAGAGCAGATCCCTTGAGCACTGTGAGCCCAGGGCTTGTTCTCCATCTGAAAACTGGTACCTTAGCAGAGAGTGCTCTCCCAGCCTTTTCTGGGGGCACTGGGTTTGACGGGGAATAAAAGCACCTGTTGAACATCAGCACCATATTGTGGGGTTTCTATGTGTCCCTGAAATCCTCTTTTCTCTCACTGAGGACAAGCTTGAGCTTGTGGTGTTTTGGACTTCGGGGGAGATTCCAAGCAGAGATGAAGGATGGAGCAGCTTGCTAAGAGGAGATAAGGAGTGACAAAGCCATGCACGACCCTCCCAACACCTTCCCCTGCGTTTCCCCAGCCATCCCCCAGGCTTCGAGCCCAGCCCCGTTCCAGCTCTGCCAGAAGCCAGGCAGAACTTGCTAAGGATGCTCATGCTCCCCCTGGATCCGGGTCTCCCTAGATTGCCTTTGAGAAGCGTTTTGGCAGTGCTCGGTGGGCGGAAAATGAGGGACCAGGTGTGGGGAAGGACGAGAGGATGCTCGGCCAAGGGCTGGGTGGTAGATGGGTGACGGAGGAGAGGCAGCTCTGGACCACAGCCTTCCCAGCACCATCTCGTGGCTGGCTGGGGAAGCAGGAAAGGAGGGGAAAAAAAAGCATCTAACTCCAAGCCAGGAGGCAGAAAAGACCTTCCAAAGGGATTTTTCTTCTCCTTGCCATCTTTACCAGGAGGAGTCAGCAAGAAGGCCTTGCCATGAACCATTCCTCCACACACACACCCCCAGCAGCTGCTTTTCCTAAGGAGGAATGGTGAATCCAGGATTGATGCCATGAGCATCGCGAAAGGAAAAAGCCCAGGAAGACACACTTACCTCATCACTGTTCAGGAAGAGCAGATGGAGAAGGGAGGGAAGGAAAAGAAAGGGGAGAAAAAGGCAGTTAGCATCCTAATTAGAAACAAGCAGAGGAATCTTAACAAGCATAAAAAGTTGGCAGTTGAACAAAAGTTTTTAAATGCCAACAACGTATTAGAGGCAGAAAAATGGGAACTTACTCAGACATCTTGCTTTAGATGGTTGTGAGCCTGCAGTGAAAACCAAGAAAAAAGGTTGACAATTATTCATGCTGCTGGTGACTTTCTTGAGTTTAAAAACAAAGTAAGATTCCTCTAGAAAAAAAAAAAAAAAAAAAGGGGAACAGGTTTGCTCTTATTTCCCAACTTCTCCAAATTTTTGTCATATAGGGAACTAGGCTGCTGTTTGTGGATGAGAGCCAAACACAGGCCTACTCACAGCCACA